AAGTTTATTGGAAACAGGTGAGCATCACGATTTTGTTACGCCAGGTTATCCCCGGCACCTCGTCAGCTGGCATGGGGATTTCCAGCAGCTCCACCCCGGCATAGGTGGGAGCACACTCTAGGCGGCGAGGCACACCTGTTCTCAATTATCAGGGCAATACTTAAGGAGAGTGCAGGAGTGTCCTTTTTGCTAGATGATCTCTTGACATCCTGCTGGTAACTGTTCATGTTGAAGTCATGCCAAGCTGCTCTGTGGGTGAACTGTCTTTTTGTTTTCTTTGATAATGATGTTATGAACTGTGTGCGATGGTTTGTGAGACTTCTGCACGTGTGTTTTTTGATTCCTGCTCTTTGAGTTAAAGGGCTACTTTGTTTGGAACAGTTTTTTGTAATACCTGATTTTTTTTTTTTTTTTTCGGTAAGCTGGTTTGCTTCAGCCACTTTGTTTTTGAGCACCACTGGGTGCAATGACTGAACCATTTGCTCAAAGCAGAGCTCCTAAGAGTTAGATCTGCCCTGTTGCTGTGACTTTTCTGTGGTACTGGAACTCTGCCTCCAGCCTTCATCTCCTGCACTCCTGTCATCTGTCAGCCTGCCCATCTGCCTCCACTACATTGGGACTGTACACCAGGCCAGTGATCTCCTGCACCGGCTTCTGCCTCCCTGGACTGCTTCCTAGCAGCGTTCTCCTGCCGAGAGCCGGCACACCGATATTTCAGGTACTCTGTTTTAATACAGAATATAGCCCTTGTCTTGTATACCAATTGCCTTATCTCATACACTCATCGTCTGTTCTAATATAACAAGCCGCACCTCTCCTGCAACCCCGGGTTACACCTCAAGTGGTCCAGTCAACACAGCGTCCCCAGCTGCCCGAGATCGGCTGCAGCGTCCAACTCTGTCTACTCCTAATTTCTAGATTAATTAAATCCTTTACCTTGTCAAGCCTGAGTCTGAGTCCTGCATTTGAGTCCTTACTATTTATTGAAATATGGCTTGCCGTAACACGACTAGGTATAAAAGGAGTATCCCAAAAGGCTCAGTCATTCACGAGCAAGAATGGGGCGCAGTTCACCACTTTGAACTGCATGAGGTGTAGGGGAGGTGACAGTGGTGAGGTGGGTAGAGCAATGATCTCCCAACCAGAAGGTGGAAGGTGTGAATCTTGGTGCTGGCAGTCCACGTGTCGAAGTGTCCTTGGGCAAGACACTGAACCCCCCCCCGTTGCCCCCGATGGTTAGAGCCATCGGTTGAGGTGGTGCCGCAGATGGCTGGTTCTGTACCGAAAACAAATTCCTTGTGTGTAACATGGCCAATAAAGGTGATTATCCTTATGAGCAAATAGTCCAACAGTTTAAAAACGATGTTTCTCAACATACAACTGTAAGGAATTTAGGTATTTCATCATCTACAGTCCATAATATCAAAAGATTCAGGGAATCCAGAGAAATCTTTGCATGTAAGTGGCAAGGCCATAAACCAACACTTGAATGCCCGTGACCTTCGATCCCTCAGGCTGCACCGGCTTGTCTGGGCCCGAGCTCATCTGAGATGGACTGAAAGTGTGCTGTGGTGTGATGAGTCCACGTTTTATTGTTTTTGGAAATCATGGATGTTGTGTCCTCCAGGCTAAAGGATAAGGATAATCACCTTTATTGGCCAAGTATGTTACAAGGAATTTGTTTCCGGTACAGAACCGATGGCAGCCATCTGCGGCACCACCTCAACCAATGGAACTAACCATCAGGGGTAAGGGGGAGGTTTAGTGTCTTGCCCAAGGACGCATGGACTGCCAGCACCAAGATTCGAACCTTCAGCCTTCTGGTTGGGAGACGACTGCTCTACCCACTGCAGCACTGTCACCTCCCCGCACCACTGTCGTCTCCCCAAAGAGGAAAAGGACCATCCAGATTGTTAGCAGCACAAAGTTCACATTGTTATCAGCACAAAGTTGAAAAGCATCTGTGATTGTATGGGGGGGGTGTTAATGCCCATGGCACGGGTAACTTGCACATCTGTGAAGGCACCATTAATGCTGAAAAGTACATACAGGTTTTGGAACAAAATATGCTGCCATCCAAGCAGCATCTTTTTCAGGGACATCCCTGTTTATTTCAGCAAGACAATGCCAAGCCACATTCTGCACATGTTACAACAGTGTGGCTTCGTAGTAAAAGATTGCAGGTACTAGACTGTCCTGTCTACAGTCCAGACCTGTGTCCCATTGAAAATGTGTGGCGCATAACGTGCAAAATACGACAATGCAGGCCCCGGACTGCTGAGTAACTGAAGTCGTACATCAAGCAAGAATGGGAAAGAATTCCACCTACAAAGCTTCAACAGTTAGTGTCCTCAGTTCTCTAACGCTTATTAAGTATTGTTAAAAGGAAAGGTGATGTAATACAGTGGTAAAAATACCCCTGTCCCAGCTCTTTGGGAACATGTTGCAGGCATCAAATTCAAAATGAGTGAATATTGCAAAAATAATAGTTTATCAGTTTGAACATTAAATATCTTGTCTTTGTGGTGTATTCAATTAAATATGGGTCAAAAAGGATTTGCAAGTCATTGTATTCTGTTTTTATTTACATTTTACAGTGTCCCAACTTCGTTGGAATTGGGGTTTGTACATTTGGCAACTGAGAGAGTTCAGGCTTCAACATGACACTTTACTCTTACTTGGTATAAATAAAATAGATTTAAGTATAAGTCATCTCTTCCCCTCCCACTTTCTCCCACTCATATTCCATACATTTCTCCCCATCTCTCTTTCCTCACTACAAAATGTCCAAAGTTTTTCAACAGCACCTGAATTTTTTGGTGGGGATAGCAACAGAGAAGGCAGTGTCACTTGATCCATAATATATGGGTTTTTGCTGCATGTGGTGGGAAATGTGAATTGCCAGCTATAGAGAAGAAGCAGATGGTCAATGTGCTGCCCACAGCTTTTCAAAAGCTTCTCTTTTTTTCAGCAGATACTACAATAATACTGAAGTGAATATGAGTTATAAGTGTATGTTCAGACAATGAAAACAAAAAGCACAATAAGGAGCAAAATTCTTCAGGATGCGGGTGTTTAACTGTGAATACACAGTAAGTTCAGATTTGAACCATATGCATTAAAGCCCTGAGACACATTTGTGCACATGCTGTCACATACTGACATTTGCTGTGGTTTTTTTCATGTCAATGTTCTCTGATAAAAGCGTTTTAGCAGTAGCAATAAGTGATGTTTTGATACTGAGTTCAGTCATCTTTCACATCAGCACTTCTTTCACTGCAGCTGAATCACAAATCTTTTATCAGCTATGTCAGACACAATCAGGGAGCTCCATTAGTATATTAGCTGCATAGAGCAGTAATATATCACAGTTGGGTTTAAAAAATAGAGGTGGCTGAAACACATGATGTGAGTGAAAGCCTTTTCAGTAAAATGGTAAGTTAAATAACTTTATTAAGACATGTATTTTTCACATTAATTACCAAGGGCGTAGTTTTGCATATGGGCCGTAGGGACATGTCTCTACCAATATTTGAACAAACCCATGCACATTATCTTTGGAGTGAAGTCATATTACATCATTCCGATGTGCCTGACTGAGTGCAATGTACCATCTTTCCTCCGGATCATTTTCCCTGTGTACATATTGTAAGTAAAGTTATTTAGCTTAGAACTGGCTTCATCATGTCATCTTTAGGTTTCTTCATCTCCAGTAAATCGGTCAATGCACTGAGAACTTGAGAATTATCAAAGAGACTGAATTACTCTTATTAACCACTTCACTGATAGTGTGATAGTACTCAAACTGTCTGATGCCCTAATCTAACTAAGCACTGAATATTAAATATTGATGTCCATGTTCATAAAGTTTAGTAATATACGCTACAAGTGTAACACTAACAAGAGCTAGGCCTACTACAAAAATATTCAATAACGTTGCTCTTACCCAGTGTAGCGTTACGAAAATTACTTTACACAATGTGTAAAGTAATTTTGGCTGTCAGCTGGTTATACTTCAACCCTTAGTTAGAAAAAAATGTGTTTTTTCTGAATTTGGGGGAATTTTGTGGGGAAGAATATTCAGTAACTTCACTCATATATTGTAGTGTCAACAAAATCACTTCACATTTACTTGATTTCTTAATCTAGTAGTTACTTTTCAATATCCTACTAATAAACATAATACAACATAATCATAAAACTTTGATTCCTTGTGAGAAATTCACAAGATACCAAGCAGTAATTTAAATGATAAGGATATAAAGTAGTTCAAATTAGCTCTGTCTTTACCAGCTGCAACATTAGAATGATGAATGTAAAAATTCATCAATAAGTATAATCCAATAATATGATATACTGTACATGTGAAATAATAAACTGTATAATGAATACTTTGAGTACATTTTGATACTAATACTTTGTACTTTTACTTAAGCAACATTTTGATTTGGGTACTTTTACTTGTAAGAGAGTATTTTTATACTGTGGTATTTATACTTTTACTTAAGTAAAGAATGTGAGTACCTGTTCCACTGCTGAAAATAACTATGCCTATTTACTTCTGCAGATAAAAGCCAATATACATTTACAAAAAATGATGACATCTGTCAAATACTATTAATTTGTTATTAGCTTACAGTTTGCAGGGATGGAGAAAGTAAGTATCCTCTTCCAATTCAGAAGCATCTACTTAAAACTGGCAGATGCACTTTTTACATGAAATAAGTTGAATGCTGACACTACTACTGAACCATTTACCAGAGTACAGTGTATGTTTTCAGGCGGATTTCTCAGCACATAAACAGCAACTCATTCCAATGGGTACAAACAACAAGGTGCTGAGGCAGATAATTACAATGTTGTGAGCAGAGAACATTTCAAAATACACCTAGGTGGTGCATTCACAAACACTCCAGTGTCCAACAGTCATCTACCTGAAAATCAGGGATGGAAGTAATGCAACACAACTACCCCCATTATTGTAACATAGTACATGTTTTGTCTACTTTTTTGAGTTTTTCTTTTTTTACTAAAGTATTGTTAGTGTTTATTTTAGGGTATTTTACTTTGCTACACTTTAAATAGCCTCCATCACATGGTAAAAAAACAGGATATACACATATTCAAAACCATTTAGTCACCACCATTAATCTTTTCTATTGTAAAAGTAGAACAAAAGTTTGAAAACACTTCTAATGAAGCACAAATCTCAGCTTCAACAGTGTCACTGAGAATTTTATTATCATTTTTCTTCTTCAGTTCAGCTTTAAATTGTATTTATTTCATGTTCATTATTTCATTTATCTTTTTATCAATGCACTTTATATCATTTTTATTCCATTTAAAAATGTTTATGGAATGTTAATTTCATACTTTAATTTGATAATACATTTTATTTTATAAATTAAAATAATATGTTATACAGAATATTGTACATGCTCTTGCCTGGGAAAGGTCCTAGTGGACAATCTACTGTATTTACTCCTCACCAACCACACAGTTAAAAAAGTAACTAAGTAACTTACATTTAACTTGGAGTATGTTTGAAGTAAATAACTTTTTACTTTTGATTAGATTTTTATACAAGAAATTTTATTTTTACTTAAGTAATTTCATCACAGTAACAGTACTTGAGTAATATAATTTAGTACTCTTTACACTGCTGCTATAACTATAAAGCATAAAGCTTATAGTTAGGGTGGATCA